TAGCGGAATCACGTTGAGTTTCTGTCCATTTAGTTTGATGTTGGGTGTTGGTTTGCTGTATATAGCTTTTATTATGTTTAGGTATGTTCCTGTTATCCCAGATTTCTCCAAGACCTTTATCATTAAAGGGTGTTGGATTTTTTCAAAGGCTTTTTCTGCACCTAGTGAGATGACCATGTGATTTTTGTTTTTCAGCTTGTTTATCTGGTGGATTACATTGATGGATTTTCATATGTTGAACCATCCCTGCATCCCTGGGATGAAACCTACTTGATCGTGGTGAATGATTGTTTTGATGTGTTCTTGGATCCGATTTGCCAGTATTTTATTGAGTATTTTTGCATCAATGTTCATGAGGGATATTGGTCTGAAGTTCTCTTTCTTAGTTGTGTCTTGGGTATCAAGGTTATTGAAGCCTCCTACAAAGAGTTTGGCAAAGACCTTTCTGCTTGTGTTGCATGGAATACTTTGAGAAGAAATGGTATATGCTGTTCTTTGAATTTCTGGTTGAATTCTGCACTGAGGCCATCTGGACCTGGGAAATTTTTTGGTTGGGAGACTTTTGATGACTGCTTATATTTCATTAGGGGTTATAGGTCTATTTAAATTGCTTATCTGTTCTTGATTTGTTCAGAAAATTGTCCAGTTCCTTTAAATTTTCAAATTTTGTGGAGTACAGGTTTTCAAAGTATGACCTGATGATTCTCTGAATTTCCTCAGAGTCTGTTGTTATGTCCCCCTTTTCATATCTGATTTTGTTAATTTGCATATTCACACTCTTCTGTTTGGGAAGATTGGAAAAAGGTTTGTCTATCTTGTTGATTTTCTCAAAGAACCAACTCTTCCTTGCATTGATTTTTTTGTACTGTTTTCCTAGTTTCTACTTTATTGATTTCAGCCCTCAGTTTGATTATTTCCTTGTGTCTACTCCTCCTGGGTGAGTTTGCTTCTTTGTGTTCTAGAGCTTTCAGCTGTGCTGTTAATTCTCTAGTGTAACTATTCTCCATTTCTTCATTTGGGCACTTAGTGCTATGAACTTTCCTCGTAGCACTGCTTTCAAAGTGTCCCATAGGTTTGGGTATGTTGTGTCTTCATTCTCATTGAATTCTAGGAAGTCATTAATTTCTTTTTTTAATTTCTTCTTTGATCCAGGAATGGTGCAATTGTGCATTATTCAATTTCCATGAGTTTGTAGGGTTTCTGCAATTTGTGTTGTTCTTGAATTTTAACACATGGTGGTTTGATAAGATGCATGAAGTTATTCCAATTTTTTTGTACCTGTTGAGGTTTGATATGTTGCCAAGTATGTGGTCGATTTTTGAGAAGGTTCCATGTGGTGCTGAGAAGAAGGTATATTCTTTTTTATTTGGATGAAATGATCTATAGATGTCTGTTAATCCCAATTGGGTCATAACTTCTATTAGCCCCTTTGCTTCTTTGTTAAGTTTCTGTCTGGTATTCCTGTCTAGTGGTGAGAGTGGGGTGTTGAAGTCTCCCAGTATAAATGTGTGGTACTTTGTATGTGATTTGAGTTTTAGTAATGTTTCTTTTACGAATGTGGATGCCTTTGTATTTGGGGCATAGATGTTTATAATTGAAATTTCATCTTGGTGGATTTCTCCTGAGATGAGTATGTAATGACCTCGTTCATCTCTTTTGATTGATTTTATTTTAAAATCTCATTTGTTAGATATTAGGATTGCTACCCCCGCTTCCATTTGATTGGAAAATCTTTTCCCAACCTTTAACTCTGAGAAAATGTCTGTCTTTGAGGCTGAGGTGTGTTTCTTGTATGCAGCAGAAGGATGGGTTCTGTCTTTGAATCCATTCTGTTAGCCTGTGTCTTTTTATGAGCGAGTTAAGACCATTAATATTGAGGGATATTAATGACCATTGATTGCTCATTCTTCTTTGATTTGGAATGGTTGTTGTTGGTGGAATTATGTGTGGAATTCCACCCCTTTTTTCTTTTTGCTGTTCGTAAAGTGGGATAATCTAATGCCTATGTTTTTCTGGTTGTAGTTAACTTCCTTGGGTTGGAGTTTTCCTTCTAGAACTTTCTGTAGGGCTGGGTTAGTGGATATGTGTTGCTTGAATCTAGTTTTGTCATGAATATCTTGTTTTTTCCATCTATAGTGATTGAAATCTTTGCTGGGTATAGTAGTCTGGTCTGGCATCCATGGTCTCTTAGTGTTGGTAGAATATCTATCCAGGACCTTCAGGCTTTCAGAGTTTCCATGGAGAAGTCAGGTGTAATTCTGATAGGTTTGCTTTTATATGTTACTTGACCTTTTTCGTTAGCTGCTCTTAATATTCTTTCTTTATTCTGTATATTTGGGGTCTTGATTATTATGTGGCAAGGGGACTTTTTTTGTGGTCCACTCTATTTGGTGTTCTGTAAGCTTCTTGTACCTTCATTGGCATGTCTTTCTTTAGGTTGGGAAAGTTTTCTTCTATGATTGTGTTGAATATATTTTCTACCCCTTTGAGGTGGTTTTCTTCACCTTCTTCTATACCTATTATTTTCAGGTTTGGTCTTTTCATGGGGTGTCATATTTCCTGGATGTTTTGTGTTAGGGATATGTTGGACTTAAGATTTTCTTTGGTCAATGAATCAATTTCTCCTAGTGTATCTTCAACACCTGAGATTCTCTCTTTCATCCCTTGTAGTCTGTTGGTTATGCTTGTATCTGTAGTACCTGACCGTTTGCCAGCTTTTCTATTTCTAGCTTTCCTTCAGATTGTTCTTTTTTTTATTTCAGTTTTCAATCCTTGCACTGTTTGAATTGTTTCTTGCAATTTTTGCTTTGTCTTTTTGTCCATTTGTTGCATTTTTTAAATTTTTTGGTTTATTCTTCCATTTCTTGCATTTTTTGGTTTGCTTTTTCTTCCATTTCTTTGAGGCATTTTTCCTATATCCTCTTTTAGGGCCGCTATCATTTTCATGAAGTTGTTTTTAAGGTCATTCTCTTCTGCCTCATTTGCATTGGAATGTTGGAGTCTTGCTGGGGTGGAGTCTCTAGAATCTGATGGTGTCATATTGTTTTTCTGTTGCTGAGTGTGTTTTTGTATTGTCTCTTTCCCATCCCTTCTTCTAGTTGGTGCAGAAAGAGCCCCTTACTGGTCTGGTGGTTAGGGGACCAGAGTTCCCTTTCGGTGGGTGCAAGCAAGTCCAATACTCTGGCAGTTCTCCTCTTCCTGGTCATAGTCCTTGTCCCATGGGTGGAGAAGAAGACCGAGAATCTGGGGTGTGTAGGCTCCCACTGGATGTCTGCAGGCACTCTTCTAGTGGGTGGAGAAGAAGGCTCCCACTAGGAGGCGAGACTCTCTGGCAGTCCCCAGGCACTAGAAGGCAGGCCCAGCTACAGGGTCTGGTTTATCTGGTCCCCTGGTCCCGTTGGTGGAAGAGAAGACCAGGAATCTGGGGTGCAGGTGCGTAGGCTCTTGCTGGGAAGGGAAGCTCCATAGCAGTCCCCAGGCACTGGGATTATTGGTTTTCTTGACCTTTGAGAAGGGACAGGTGCATAATGGCTGCTGATGGGAATGGAATTTCTATAGGAAATGATTAAAATGTCGTAGAATTAGATAATGATAATGGTTGATACTAGTGCCTGAAAGGGGCCATTTGACTTGGAAGTTAATTATTGAGCTTTGTATTGGCTCTTTACATTTATCTATTTATCTATGTGTCTGTGTTCATGCCATGGCACATATGTGGAGATTAGTACAACCTTTTTTTTTAACGTTTCTGTTGTTGGTGGTGCTTTTTTGTTTTTGTTGTTTTTTTTTAAGACAGAGTTCCTTTGTGTAGTCTTGGCTGTCCTGGAACTTGCTTTGTGAACTAGGCTGGCCTCAAACTCAAAGAGATCAGTCTGCCTCTGCCTCCGGAGTGTTGGGATTAAAGGTGTGTGCCACCACTGCCTAGGCTGTTTTTTTTTTTAAAGAAATATTTATTTATTCATTATGTATATAGTGTTCTGTCTGCAAATGTGCCTGTACACCAGAAGAGGGCACCAGATCTCATTGTAGAAGGTTGTGAGGCACCATGTGGTTGCTGGGAACTTAGGACCTCTGAAAGAGCAGCCTGTGCTCTTAACCTCTAAACTGTCTTTCCAGCACCCTATTTTTTTTTTTAAGTAGGGAAAAAGTTATTAACTGAGAATGATGGCAGAAAATGGAGAAAGTTTGAGACAGGTGATGAGAGGATAAAATAGATGCTAGGGAGAGCTGGAGAAGTAAGTGGTCCAGAAAAGACAAAAAATGTTGTGTCATTGTCAGGTATAGATACTTAGATTATGTTAACATCACAGTATGGTGGCTCAGGGCAGTTGACTTTCTTGCTGTCAACTGGACAATGATTAGAAGTCACTTTGCATGGTTCATTTCTTTTTCCTTCCCTCTTCTCCCTCTGTCCACCCCGCCCCCCACCTTACTGGGTATTAAACTCAAGCAAGTGCCCTAGCACAGAGCTGTATCTCCTCTAGACAACCACCACACCACACCACCTCCTCCTTTTCTCTTTAATTTTGAAACAAGGAGTCACTAAGTTGCCTCAGTTGTTCTTAAACATAGCTTAAGTAGCTGCTGAATTTGTAATCCTCCTGCCTCACCTGCGATTGTAGGCTGGTACCACTAAATTCAGCTTATATATACACAATTTCAAAGTTGTATTTGTATTTTTGCTTTTTAGGTTGAGGATAGTAAGTACAGACTGTAGCACCAGTGGAAATTTATCATCATGAGCACTGTAAAAGACTGAAAGAGCACATAGCAGTCTTTCATGTATTGATGTAGATTTCATTTCCATACTTAAAGATAGTAGGGGGTTGGAAATGCTCCATTAAAGTATGCTGTAATAACTGTGGCCTAGGGATTAATTCAGTAGTATAGTATTCACCTGCACAAGGTCCTGGCTTCAGTTCCTACCATCAGAATAAAGTTTGAAAGCAAATCTGTTCTTTAGATTCACATAGAATCTACTTATGATTATTACCTTGTAGTTACGACAGCCTCCAGTTAAGCGCTTGAGACTTCGTGGTGATTGGTCAGATACTGGTCCCAGAGCGAGGCCGGAGAGTGAACGAGAACGAGACGGTAACTATATTTTGGACAGCTTTTTTGTGACATTTGGTATTAAAGATTTATTTATCGCCGGGCGGTGGTGGCACATCCCTGAGTGCTGGGATTAACCAGCACTCAGGAGGCAGAGGCAGGAGGATCTCTGTGAGTTCCAGGCCGGGCTGGACCAACAGCCTCCAAAACAATACAGAGAAACCCTGTCTCATTAAAAAAAAAAAAAAAAAGATTTATTTATCTTGTCTGTGTGAGTGTTCTGCCTGCATAAGTACTGTACCTTGTGCTGCTGGAATGAGAAGAAGGCATCAGATGCACTGTCATTGGGGTTAAAGATGATTGTGAGCCACCTTGTGGATGCTGGGAACTGAACCTGGGTCCTTTTCAAGATCAACAAGTCGTCTTAACCTCTGAGCCGTTTCTCCAGTTCCTTATTTCCATTGTTTTCTATTGTAAATGGTGCTACAATGAGGTCTTAATATTATTTTCATAGAGTTGTTCAAGTACCTCATAGGATAAATTCCTAGAAGTGCAATGACTGAGTCACTGAATAAGTATATTTTACTTTCATATACATATATGTGTACACACACATATATACATATATGAACAATTTATCTGAATATATTTTATTTAATAATCTATAGTTAAAATCTTATTCTAGTTATTGTTAAACCTTTTATAATCAAAACACTATTCCTAAGTATAGTATCCTTGGCTCTATTTTATAATATTCTTAAATATAAAGTTACAGAATGTAGAGGTGGCTTACATGTCTGTAATCCCAGAACTTGGAAGGCGGTGGCAGGAGGATTATCATAAGCTCAAGCCAGGACTACATAGTAAATTCCAGACCAGCCTGGACTACGGAGTGAAGAGACCCTGTCTCCAAAAAATAACCATATCAAAGAATTATGTGATTGGATAATTATTATGTTTTTTTATTTGACCTCATACTCCATTTTGATTTTTGAAGCTGGGCCTTAGTGTAACCCTGACTGTCCTCATACGTTCTGTGTATTCCAGGTATCTTCCAAGTCCCAATAGTCACCCTGCTTCAGGTCCCTGAATATTGGTTTTTCATACTTCCATCTTAAAATGGCCTTAATATCCATAGCACTGTAAGAACATAAAATGTTCTTAACATCCCCCATTGTGTAACAAAATAAAATGCCCTCAAAGGAGAAAAGCATACAAATGTTTATTTGAACAAAAACAAATGTTTATTTGAACAAAGAAAAGGAGTGAAGTTGAAATGACAAAATACATTCTCTGTCAGTTAATTGCAAATGCCCGTTGTCAGACAACCCTGAAAGGACCTGATCTTATTAAATACCTGGAACTTACAGTAACTAATAAGAATTCTGTTTTAGGGAAATTGAGGCAAAATCCCAAGGTTACTTCATGTCTGTCTTTGATAATAATGTTGTATTGAGAAAGCAACCTTTCCTTCAGTTTATTCCACTTAGCATTCATGAGCCTTTCCTATTAGGCACACTTATAACTATTAATAGATAGTTGTGGGGTAGGGGTGGGGCATAGTTACTTAAAAACAGGCATAGATGGAGATGAGAACTCACGCTTCTGGAGATCGTACTATACAGAAACGGGTAGTCACTCATACATACAATCATAAAATGTGATGGGGGTTCTAATAACTTTTTATACATTGATGTAGGTTACTTAGGTGGTTTCATTTTTAATTTTTAGAATTTTTTAAAGGCTTTCAAATCTAGGTTTTTGTGTTAAAGATGTTGATTTTTTTTGCTAAACTTACTAATAAAATTTATGTTGTAATAGGAGAGCAAAGTCCCAACGTGTCATTGATGCAGAGAATGTCTGATATGTTATCAAGGTGGTTTGAAGAAGCAAGTGAGGTTGCACAAAGCAACAGAGGAAGGGGAAGACCTCGACCCAGAGGTAATTTGTCTTCCTAGTTAAAATCATTAGAAAATGGGCAAAAAGTTTATGGAAAATAGTTTTGATGGGCTTTTTGTTTGTTTGGTGGTGGTTTTTGTTTTCTTTTTCATTCGTTTCTCCCTGTCTCTCTCTCTTTCTTTCTTTCTTTCTTTTTTTTTTTTTTTTTGAGATAGGTTTTCTCTGTGTAGTCCTGGCTGCCCTAGAACTCACTCTGTAGACCATGCCCACTAGAAGATGGTTTTTGTTGTTATAATCTGTCTAAATTGAACTGTGTTTTGTAACCAGTTTGTATAGTGGCTGATATAAAGTAGGCTCGTGTATCTACATGAAGTCCTACTGTGAACATATGGTGAGCTCAAACAATAAGTCCAAGGAATCCAATCGGCATTATTGCTCATACCATTCCCATGTAGCCAAAGGGTTCTTTTTTCCCGGAGTAGTAAGTAACAATGTGTGAAATAATTCCGAAGCAGAAAGTAGTCATAGGTCTCTTCTGATTCCACTAGACCCAGCTGTTTATTTCAAAACAAAGAAAACAAAAGTAAGATCTCCAATTTTAAGTCCCTTTCCAATGCACCTTGAAAATGGGAGTCTACAAAACCCTAAAGTTAAACACATGCATATATTCTAAAATTTGATTATTTAAAGAATTTTATCTATTTGGTGTGTATGTGTGTACATATATGTATGAGTGTGCATGTGGAGGTCAGAAAACAATGTGGAGGGTCAGTTTTCAAACTCAGTCAGGCTTGCAGCAAGTATCCTTATCTGCTTAGCCATCATACTAGCCCAAGATTGATTATTTTAACAAGAATGTATCATTGATTCTTATCTCTATTGATTAGATTGTTTGATTAAGTGGACCAAACCACCATTGGCGATTATTGGTGTACTGAATGTCTTAGTTGGGGTTTCCGTTGCTGTGATGAACAAAAAGCAAGTTGGAGAGGAAAGGGTTTACTTGACTTGCACTTCCATATCACATTTTTATCATCAAAGGAAGTCAGCACAGGAACTCAAACAGGGCAGGATTCTGGAGGCAAGAACTGATGCAGAGGGTGCTGCTTACTGACTTAATCCCCATGGCTTGCTCAGTCTGCTTTCTTACAGAACCAGGACCATAAGCCCAGGGATGGGACCACATCAATCACTAATTAAGAAAATGCTTTACAGCTGGATCTTATGAAGGCATTTTCTTAATCGAAATTCCCTTCTTTCAGATAAATTTAGCTTGTGTCAAGTTGACATAAGACTAGTCAGCATACTGAAATTATATGTGTGTGCATATATGCACACATATAAAATAATATATTTCAGAACATGTTTCTGTAGAGCTTTGTTTTTGTGGGGTTTTTTTGTTTTGTTTTGCATTTAAAATGTAAGTCTGAGGCTGGGGAGATGGCTCAACAGCAATTAAGAGATGGTTAAGAGCACTTAATTGCTTTTTGGAGAAGACTTGAGTTCAATTTCTAGAACCTACATAGACTGCTTACAATGTCAGCAACTCTAGTTCTGGGGATTCAACATCCTCTTCTGGCCTCTACAGACACATGCATGTGACCAAAAGACTCATACATGTAAAATAAAAGCAATTAGATCTTTAAAAAGTGTGAGTTTGTATTAACATGTGTTTTTTTTAAGGTGTAACAAATCAGTCAGATGCTTCAACTCTTCCTACGGTTCCATCAAGTCCCAGTTTGGAAGTGGGTGAAACTGCAATGGATGTAGATACACCAGCTGAGCAACTTCTTCAACCGTCTACATCTTCTACAGTGTCCGTTCAGGCTCAGGCAGCAGCATCTGCCACAGAAAGCCCTCGTTCTGCTTCTGTGCTGTCTTCTCCAGACAGTGAACCACGGCAGTCTGTTGAGGCATCTGGACACCATGCACAACATCAGTCTGGTGAGGATGCTCTTCTTCAAGTAGGCTGTTCGTGTGCTGTCTCTGATAAGAACACAGTCTGCTGTGAAAAACCCTAAATCACAGAAACTTCTTGCTGGCAGAATTACTTGTAGTATGCAAATGGTCAGAATTACTTGTAGTATGCAAATAGTAACACATACAAACTTCAAGTGTTTCTAGTTTGAATGAATTTTTATGAATAGTGAATCTTTAATTTACATAAGGTAGTTTTTTAAGGTAATAGCAGGTGTTACTTTGACATAGTTTAATACAGAAAGATTATTATTTATAGACCATTATTGGTGAAAATAATGTTCTAGATTTACTTGGTTCTATGTCTGTATTAAAATGACAGTGAAAATATGTCTCATTATTATTATTACCATTGTACTTATATTTTCAGTTTTTCACCAAATATGAAACTTTGAATATGTTCAGAATAATGAGTCTGAGATGGTCCCTTCTCAGCAGCATAGTGTACTTTACCTGGAGAATTACTTCACTGTTATATATATGAAAAAGAATTCTCTTACCAAACCTTTGTCTCATATATATGTATGTATGTATGTATATATATGTATACACACACATATATTAATATATATATACATATGTACATATGTATGTCTACTTGAAATTTTAACTAGTAAACATAGTAAAAATAATATATTTGTTTATTATTTTTAAGTTCTTTTAAGGAAGCATTTTATTTGATACAAAACAACAATATTTGCCAGGGATATAGCCAGGAATACAGCTAGTACCTAAACTAAGACCTCTGACAGTTTCCTAGCAACTTTGTCTCCAAGCTGTCACAGATGCCAGATCTCAGATAATGGGGTGTTTTAAATTAAGTACTGTTTTTATCACTATATCTCAGTTTTGGTAGTTAATATTCACTTTTTATGGGAATGTAAGTCAGGGTCTACTGCATGACTGCTAACACTATGTACAGTTTATCAAAATGTAAGCTAACCCTAACCTAGAGGATCAGCTTTTCCTCATTTCATATGGCATTTCAACTTGAGAAAAATAAAGTATGTTGAATTGTTTGAGAAATAGGGAAAGGCGTTAGAAGTAGACCAAAACTAGTATTAATAAAGGTAAGAAAAAATTTACATACTTATTTTATATGCGCACTATCTTTATGTATGAGGAGGCCAGAAGAGAGCATCAGCTTCCCTGGAGCTGGAGTTCCATCAGTTGTGAGCTAACACATAAGTGCTGGGAACTGAATCCAGGTCCTTTGTAAGAAGAATAATGCTCTTGACGACAGAGCATCTGTGCAGCCTCAAGAGAAGGATTTTTAAAATGATAGTGTAGTTGCAAATATTCTGAAAGAATAGGAAATTAGAAGTTATCAAGAAAACTTAGAAAAACAGACTCTCTCACCTGGTTTTAAGTTCTACTGAGTCTTAACTAGTTCTAATTGTTTCTTAAACATATTCGTGAGTAAAATATTTTGGAGCTTTAAAAGAATGTTTTCATAGCGATTTTTTTGCATTTTCATACTACAATTTAAACTGCTGAACTTCATTTAGTGTTTAATATATTAAGCACTAAAGGATAGTTTTGTGATGACCATATGATCATTGTTTGAATATTATTTAGTTCCTTTGTCCAGAAACATTTCAAAGGAAGTAAGGAAATGTTTTGAATTAATAGATTAAGATTTTTGCTTAACTATTGTAAACTATGATTAGAGTATTTTCCTGTTTTCTAAATTGTACCACTTCTGAGGAAAATGATCTGGTGTGAGGTATAGATTATGCTTATAATTGTTTCAGCAGTAGCCCTTTCATTATCCTCGCATCCAACATGTTCACAGCACGGTCTTAACGTTTTTGTTTTGTTCCTTTCCTGATCCATTTGTGCTTACCAAAGCCAATGCAAACCCAGATGCAAATAGACAGACACTGGGGATTGTCCATTAATGAGAATGTGGTAGGTGGGATGTCAATTTAAAGCTGTGATTTCTGTCAATGACTTGTGTAGATCTGGAAATGACTTTCTCTATCCTTGTTTTGCTGTGGATATCTCTTTATGGAAATGTTTATTATGTCTTTCCTTCATATCACATGTTTATCCTTTGTCAGTTTTAATAGTTGACTACAGGAACTGTAACGATGAAAACTAGCCTGAGTGCTTTGGACTCCTCCTTATAGTCTGCACCTGAATCTCTCAATGATGATGATGAAAGTCACACACAGGTTTTAGTCAACACTTGTCATAGCAGTCTGTCTTTCCATGCCTTTGGTGTCCAGCTGTAAGAATGTTTATTTCACTCCTTCCTGGCTTTTACATTTTTAATATCCTGGTTTACCTTCTGTGCTCTATAAGCTGCAAGCTTCTTCACAATGAAGAACAAAACACTAATTTTCTTGACCATTTCAGCTTTCTAAAATTGTCTAGGAGAAAAAAATGTATCTTCTCCTGTCACACCTGGCTGGAACAGTTCAAACCATGCTTTCCTAGCTTCTCAGGGACGGCACTCCTGTTCCTGTGCCTTCCTGGGAACTTCACTTTTTTCCTGTGTCACTATTGCCTTTTCTGTTGAATTTTTTCCATTTAGCCTCAAACATTACTGTTATCTCTTTCCTAAAAATAGAAAGCCTCTCTTGATCAGTCTACATTCCTCCAAATAAAGCTGTTCAACTACACTACTTCCCCATTTCTCTGCAACTTCATTTCCACTCCCCCCCCCCGTTTATTCATGAACCAACCAAAATTTGCTTTTCAGCCTTCTTTTCCTGTCGAATTTTTTGTCAAAGTCACCAGTGAGCTGTCTTGCCAGTCATGAAACTGTCTTTCTGTTAATGCCTTAGTAGATTTTTTGGCTCAGTTTCATTTAGCATAGCCTTTCCCTTCTTGCCCTTCTTGGCATTCATACCACACTTGCCTGTTTGCTCTTATTATCCGTCATGGCTGAGTTTATCATATCCATTGATAGTTCTTATTCTGTCTACTTCTTGATTGAAGATTCTGGTTGAACCGCTTAGGATGACCCTCCTGTTTTGTCTATATAAGCGTTATCCATCTGAGATTCACTTCTAATGTATGATTCCCAAATACAGTTAAGTTTTATGTTAAAATCCAAGTTTCAGATTCTTTTGCCTACTTATTATAAGGGACTCTTTTTTTTATGTTTTCAGTGATTTTTAAATTTAATAATATGTCCAAAATAAAAATTAATTCAGCCTGCCCGTCCTTTCCCCTTAATGGTTACAATTTAGTCCTTTTCTTTTAAAATTTTAAAAAAATTAATTATATTTATGTTGTGTGCACATATATGAGAGAGAGAGTGAGAGTGTGTGTGTGTGTGCATGCGCATATGTAGGTCAGAGAACAAGTTTCATCAGACATTGTCAGACTTGGCAGAAAATGCCCTTACCGCTAAGCCATCTCACTAGCCCCTTACTTTAGTTCTTTTATGCCTTAATTTTTATTTGTTTATTTTAATAACCCATGAGTTATTTTGTATTCTTTGATTTTCTTTATGTCTTATACTCAATTCATCAGCAAGTTCTATTGCTACTGTATCTAGATTATATTTCACCTCTTTCCATTTCAGTGTCATTCCTTATCTCTTGGTTGATGTTCATACATCTATTCTTGGTCTTTTCCATAAAGTTATTCGCCAAAAAGGGCACAATAAGCATTTGAAGTATTTAATCAGATTGTACAATTTGGCCGTTTATAGCACTCTGTAAAAGCTCTCTTGAAGTACGTAGAAATAGAGGCACAAAAGAAAATACTTCAAACGTCTTATTGTAGACCTCCACTCTACATAGACTGGCCAACTCTAGCTTCATTTCACGTTGTCTCTTTATCCTCTTAGCATCATGTTCTGGATGTACTGATTCCACTCATTTCCTCTACTGTGCCAAACTCTGTTTTGTCTCCTTCGTTGTCTTTAACTCTTAGGTTCTTACTGTTCTTTTTATTAGGAAGATATTCTTCAGCTTAAATACTTCCTAAGAGAGTGGTCCCAGGATTATCTTAGAGCCCCCCTCCCTTTTTAAACTACTTTCCCTAAAAAGTTCCTTTTTTAATAGAACTTTGTTTATTTTTCAAAAGTACTTACTAAGCTTTATGATTTCTTTTCACTTGGATTAATTTGTGATTTACTTCTCTTTACTAGCCTATGATCTTACAAAGATAGGCATTCATTGCTTGTTGAGTCTGTAATAAGATTGTTTATAAAGATGCAGTAAGAATATTACAAAACACCGAGTTATATTTTAAGTCTTTAGAATTTTAGCCCCAGTTCATTATCTGTTTTGTGGAGAAGGGGTTCTCCTTATCTGAGCATCTAGAGTGCTGGGGTTGCATGTGTAGTCCACTATCCCTGGCCATTAACTTTTGGTATATCTGGTAGGCTATTCTCTTCCTGGGGAGTCTTTTGAGATAGTGTCCCATGCCCCAGCTAGCTTTGAACTTTGGATCCCCCTGCCTTTTCTCCAAAGTGCTGCAATGATAATCATGCACCACTATACCCAACAAGCTCTCCACAGTTAACAGCATGTAGGAGACATGCAGTGTTTAAATTTCCAGTCTATCATTTTTTAGGGCCATGTTTTGCTCTACAGTTATAGGCCATAGAAGACTAAATAATTTTTGACTTATAAAAATATTTTAAGATAGCTCACAGAAGTATGTTGCTAAAATCTTGTTGTAAATTTAAGTGAGTAAATCTGGTCAATTAGAATTCTGGCAGAAGAGAAATTAAATGGGGTACAGGTGAAGCAGGGATACGAAATAGGTGATGAGGACAAACTCTCCAGAGCGTGCTGAAATGGGCTTTGGGTCTTGGAGCAGAACTAGAAAATATACCAGACTCAAATGGAATTTGAAGTCAGTGGTGGACTTTTCCTTATAGTGTTGCTTCTTCATCCCTTGTGTTCTTGAATTCTATTTTAGTTGCTATGTCAGACTACTTGAAACCATTTCTTGCATTTATAGCTCAGAGATTTATCCTATACACATTACTCTGTAGATCATTTAACAAGACCTTTTAAAGAAAATGTGTTTATAAAATTGTTTTTGTAAAATAAGACTTTGTGCCAAATTAAGTGAAATGCTTACGAGTTTACTCTAAAGTGTTCCAGTGTTAAGTACAGAACATTATTGTCTCTGTTGGTGATGCTTGGATGTCTCCTTGTTACCAAGGTAACTTTGCCGAAGCTGGGTGTTTCCTGGGATAAATTTGGGTAGCTTTCATTTGCTGCATCATTTATAAACATTTTCTCTGTTAGAAAGCTTAGGGTGAGAGAGTACTGGTAGTTCATTTTTCTTCCTTTTCATTCACTTGGAACCCATTTAAAACTATGATTAGAGAATATGGAAACTTTGGATTAGATAGTGATTTCGGTTCATATGAAATTCAGTTTGGGATAGGGACTTCCTTGAGACTGGAAATCACTAAATTCTAAGCTCTAAGTTTCTAATTAAATAGATCACTCAGAGTGCAAGAATTCTATTGCCAGAAGATATGTAGAAAAAAATTAATAGAAAAGATATGTAGACTGTAAGGCCTGTATGTGAATACTTATTTGCAAACAACTGCTTAAATTCACAATTTTCAGACTGTATATAACCATTACAATAAATTTAGCTCTGTAGAAATGTTACTAGTGAATTAAACACTGAGGTGTAGAATATAGTAAACCAAAATTGTCAAAGCCCAAATAATAGCTAGATGTGACAGTTCCTTGAAGTAGGATCATGCTAGCTCTTAGATGGCAAACACGGTATAACTGCTCTTATACTCTGAGCCATCTCTCCAGCCCCCAGACTACTCTTTTTTTTTTTTGGTTTTGGTTTGGTTTTTCAAGACAGGGTTTCTCTGTGGCTTTGGAGGCTGTCCTGGAACTAGCTCTTGTAGATCAGGCTGGTCTCAAACTCAGAGATCCGCCTGCCCTCTGCCTTCCGAGTTCTGGGATTAAAGACGTGTGCCTCCACCATCCAGCCCCAGACTACTCTTAAGAGTAGTTTGTTTCCCCATGGAGGAAATTTTCATTTTCATTTTTTTTGCAAGTGGTTATCAATTGGATATAGCTTCTGGGATAGGGATGAGGCAAGTGTTCACTTCTTTCAGCTCTAGAACCCCATCTCGTACAGACCCTACAGGCCCTGTGCATGCTGTCTTCCTCTCTGTGAGTTCATGTGTGCTTCATCCTGTTTTATTTAGAAGGCTTTGTTTCTTTGGTATTCACTACCACCACCAGCTCTTAACACTCTGTCTACCTCCTCTTCTACAGGCTTCCCTGAACCCTGAGGCGATGATGATGGAGACATCCCATTTAGGGATGAGTGTTCTGAGGTCTCTTCTCTCTCTGTATATAGTCTGGCTGTGGGTATCTACATTGGTTCCCATCTGCTGCAGGAAGAAGCTTCTCTGATTATGACTGGGCAAGAAACTAACCTATGAGTATAGCAGAATGTCATTAGTAATTATTTTATTGATACATTCATTGTGTAGAACAGAAGTCTTGGTTTTTCCCCTATCTGTTCTTGGTCAGCCAAGCAGCATCAGGTATGGACTCCATCTCATGGAGTGGGCCTTAAGTCAAATCAAATTGGTTGATTATTCCCACAGACTTTGTGACACCATTGCACTAGCATATTTGCAGGCAGGACAACATTGTAGATCAGAGAGTTTGTAGCTGGGTTTTGTTTATGTTTCTCTTTTAGTACCATGCAGGGGACCTTCCAGTACCAAGAACACTAGCCAGTAGGGATGAAGGTTCTAAATAGACGCCAACTTGACTTCTCTATGTTCAATGTGTTGTGTAGGTGTTGTTTTCAGCAATAGGGCCTTGTCATCAGTTTGTGAAGAGCAACTATATAGTCCTTGCAACAGCCTGAGTTGTTTGGGGATTTCCACGGTACCCCTTTGGCCAACAACTCAATTAGATGTAGCTCAATCCCAGTACTGGAAACTTCATTTGTTGACAAGAGATGTCCATTCGGGACTTTGTTTCTTATGTTATTTGAAAAATTTGTTTAGATTGTCTTCATATATGTATGAAGATGCTATATATAATATGCATGTATTTTAGAAAGCTTCTATTGTACCACTCAAATGGCCCTTAATTTTAGCTGTCTCTCACCATAGTCCCTCCTTTTCCCCCTCTTCCCTCCCCATCCCCGCTTGGTCCATTCCATTCCCCTTCATCCATAACTATGTATTCTATTTCCCCTTCCTGGTAAGATCTATCTATCCTCTCTAGTCCCTTGCTTTATACCTAACCTCTGTGGTTCTGTTGATTGTAGCTTGCTTATCACTGACTTAGTACCTAATATACACATATAAGACAATGTGTATCTAGTATTTATTTGTCTTTCTGGGTCTAGATTACCTCACTCAAGATGAATTAATTGTTCATTAACTCTTAATTAGTGGGTTGAAAACAATTCTTTATAAACAGAAGCCACAATAATAAGAGATTAATGACTCGAGCATGCTTAATTCCCCTAACAACAAAAAAATTTGCATGAGAGTCTGAAATGTAATTTGTTGTAAGTATTACTGAGTATTCCAGCACTAGGGAGGCAGAGGCAGGCGGTTCTCTCTGTGAGTTTGAGACCAGCCTGGTCTACAGAGCAAGAACCAGGACAGGCTCCAAAGCTACAGAGAAACCCTATCTCTAAATACAAAAAAAAAAGTAATTTTCCTCCACATTCTTGGTCTGGGTCTGTTTAAGGATACGTGTCCTGCACTCGCCTACTTCTTTTCATGTATTCTCTTCTTTCTCCTCAATTAAATGTATTCCAGCAGCACAAAGTTCCCTTTGACTTCTCCTCCTCACTATCTTTAACCTTTCCCCCTTCTACTAGCATCCAGTACTAATGTAGAGTGTATATGCTTTCTGTTTCTATTTCATTGTCCCCACTTCTTGAACTTGCTACAGTCTGGTTCTACCTCATATTAGTACACAGCTCTCATCAGTGTTGTCAATGACTTACACAATACAAAGGACTCAACCAATATCCTTTTCAGGAGTGTGTTAGAAACATTGACACATTGGCTTGCTTAATCCTTTGTGGACACACTTTTATCACTTTACCTACAGCACTTTGGTTCCTCAATTGTTCCCGCACTATCCTTGGCTTCTTCTGTTCTCCCTCTTAATATTAAAGTTCCCCAGGACTCAGTTCTTATCTGTTGTCAGAGGCCTTAAAGTTTCATCATAAGTGACATCCAGAATTCTGTTAGGAATTCTTGACTCTACATCCAGTCTCTGGTTACCTTCTCCATTTGCATGGCTATTAGTTCTTTCCAGAATGAGTTGTTTTCTTTGTTGTTCTTCACTGTAGCTAATGGACAGCTTCTTTGCCTTGTACCTAGGCTCAACCTTTTTCATTGTGTCTAGACATTGGCAAATATGCTACTTTTTCTCTCACATCTCCCACGAGCATTCCCCTTGCCCTTTCTTCCTATTGGAACAGCTTTTTCATGATAGCTGTATAGCTTACTGTCTTATGTCCTTGAGACCCCTGTTAAAGCACCTTAGAAGACTTAACTAAGGACTGATACATATATTTTACAGGTGTCTGTTTTTCCCTCAACGTAAATTCCATAGGGGTAAGAATGATTTTGCCCAATGTTTTATTGTCCTCAAAACGTCGTATGTAATTGGTATATAACTACCTCTTTGCAGAATTTCATGTAATATTTCTTTTCACCTGCATCATTTCCTCAGAAAAGATTAATAAAAGGTTGTATAAATCTTTTTAAAGTAGAAAAGGTAAATGACAAATCCAACATAAAAAGGAACATTTTTTAAGGATATGTCATATAACTTGCATTTTTAAAAGATCTAATGAATTCTAAGAATTGTTTCCAAATACTGAACCGTTTACTCCTTTTATTAAATTTTAATTGTTTGAAATTAGTAAAGTAACTTACATTTTTTGCTTGGATTATTTAAATTAATATTTTATAGCTATTATCTCTGTGTTATTTGCTGTACAAAGAAAAGAAAAATTGAATGTTTAATTTAGAGTCTTACAGGTCAAGTGTGTAGTGCAGTGGTGAAATATCGCCATATTGTGGTCTATGGTACCATAATATGAAGTGCCATAAAGTAAAATAGTGTTTTGCTTATGGATGACTTTATTTTCATTATTTTGGTTACTTGAATATTTGTAGAAATTATGTCTAATTCATCAAAATTAAAGACAAACATTTGGTTGTATGTGTATAGTCTTGTCTCATAATCTAATGACTATTTTTATCAGTAATTTGTTTTTAGTATTCCTCTTGAAACATGTCTTTTTTTAATCTTTTCCCTTAAGTATGTAATCAACTTTATACTGTTTTTTGTCGTGTTACTCTCTTCTTTGTTTCCCTATCTGTGTCAGAATTTTTAAGGGGGCCTGAGATAGCTTTGCTCCGTAAGCGCCTGCAGCAGCTGAGGCTTAAGAAGGCTGAGCAGCAGAGGCAGCAAGAGCTAGCGCAGGCCCAGCATCAGCCTTCCACTTCCACTTCTGATCAGTCTCCTCATGAGGGCTCTTCACGGGACCCTCGAGCTTCAGGTCATTGATGTCAAGTGTGCTCAAGCAGCTTCTCCAGTTGCCTTCTAATACTGCTCTGTGTAGCCCAGTGTTTCCCCTCCCACTCAGTTGGGGAACTAATGTGCTTGCAGCTTTTCCTTCCCTTCCCGGCAGTAGAGTGGTGTTCAATGTCTGCTGCTGGAGGGGCAGATTGACAGGAGCATTTCCTAGAGGTGTGAATATACAGCAATGCTTCATCTTACTGTAAAACTACTCGGAAAGGGGCAAATATTTATTACTTTTAAAGCTGTTAAATTACTTTCTAATAAATATACTAAATTTCATCACTGCTTTGATATTTTTGCAGAAATTTCCTGTATGCCAAAATGAACCTAAGCCTATAGACTCTTGGCTCTTCTTATTAAAATTCTGTAGTTAACCAATATTTTTAAATGGACTAGTAATTATTTGGCCATACAAGCATGCTCGCTCAATCATCATTCCCTTCTGTTATTATTTGATTTTTTTCACTATTTTCTTACTTAACACTGCTATAATCAACTTCTGTATATAGTGCAGCAAAAGTACTTTATGATCTCAGTTTCCTGTTCTTAAGAGCTGTCAGATTCTTATGCTATATAGTAATAGTCAGTGCCACATATAGTAATAGTCAGTGCCACTTATAAAATATTTACATTCCAATTCTTTTAATTAACACTTCTTGAGAATGATTCAAGATACTGTCGCATAAAGTTCATCAAGATGAGTAATAGGTACTATATATTTTACTATATATTACGGTAGGTGTTAAAATGTTCATCAGGGAACAAAAATGTGACTTTAAGTTCTCACATTAATAAATTTATAATACTTGGATATATTTTGCTTTTACACCATAAGGAATAATGAGTTTGGGTGTTAATTAGTTTGAAAACTCTGGTTTAATTACTTGGAATTAATTTGTACTATTTATGGGTAGAATTAGTCGACCTCCACTTTACATCTGTTCCAGCAATGTTGACCATAACACATTTGTTAATAATGTTGTGGTACAATATAATAAATTCAAGCCTCTATAATATACATATGGTATTTTGAACAAATATGGGGGTTTGATTTGTTATTATTCCATGTTATATCAATATAGAAAAAGTCAGACAAAAATGCCCCTTATTTTTTTCCCTGTGGGGAGATCTTTTCTTATACTTAAAACAAAAAAAATGTAAGAAGAATATATGATAAGATTATAATAATGGCATATGTTAATAAATCAATTTACTATTAGTTCATGCTACATACTGTTTTAAGGCAAAAGGGAATAATGAACAAAAATCAGTAAAAAGAAAAACTGTCTTATATATTTAATGTCCTTTAGCTTTTATTGATCTTGTATGTGTGCCTTTGCACATTTACACCATGCAAGCATGCCGGGAGCATACACATGGAAGACAGATGAAAATTTGGGAGAAACATTCTCTTTACACTGTATGGATTCTGAGGATTGAACTCATATTGTTAGGCTTGAAGGTAATCCCTTTACTGGCTCGATCTTTTTGCCAGCTCCTTTTAGATACAGATATTTTTAAGATACCAAAATTTAGCAGTAACAAATCAAATAGTAAAGTAAATTTTGATAGGAAGCAAAACTATATGAGGAAGAAAGTACATTGTGAGTGTTAGAAAAGTAAGCTGAGGCTTATTTACCTTTCATATAAAGTTCCAAAACTTTGAAAATTGAAGCAGGTTCTTTTTGAGTCATAAATTTAAGAGTAGTGTCAGATGTGATAGTGTATACCTTTATCCCCATCACTTAGGAGGTGCAGAGTAAGAGTAGTGTCAGGTGTGATAGTGTATACCTTTAACCCCATGACTCAGGAGGCAGAGGCAGGCAGATAGTTCAAGACCAACCTGTTCTGCATTATAAATTCCAGGCATAGCAGGCTATACACTAAAACCCTGCCTCATAAACAATCAAACAAACAAGCAATGTAAAGTGACTATACTGGTTTTGTTAAATAATAGACGTTATCCTCTCATCTCTCAGTATGGAAGCTGATTTACTACCGGTGGTAATCCTTAAGGAGCGCCCTAGCTTAACAACTATGAAGTTGAGAAACATTCTCTTTTCTTATTAAACAATGGTCGTGGCCCTCTGAGGCCCCCATGGTCCAGTATTTAAAGCCCTTAGTTCTGTCACTCATTGTACAATGATTTCCTCACCTAAAAGTGAAGTGTTTTAGGTGTATCTTATGTGTGTATCATATTATACATATAAAGTACCTTGATCATTTGTTTGTTTGCTGGTTTTGTCCTTGGGTAATGGTCTCCTGTTGCCCAGATCAGCCTCAAACTCTCTCTGTGGCTAAGGATGAACTTGAACTTCTAATATTCCTGTGTCTATCTCTAAGATGCTAGGATTACAAGAGTGCTCCACCACACCCAGTTTATATAGTTTTGGTGCCTGAACCCCAGGCTTCATGCATGCACTTTGCCAATTAAGCTACATTCCCAATGTCCTAATAAATTTTAATCAGTAGCATGCACTGTGTTCATTTGCTAGTGCTACTTTCATCTTGCTCTGCCCTAGAAATGTTATTAGTAACTAAAAGCCTTATAAGGTCTGTTTTCTTTTTCAATTAAATAAGCTTTGGTTATGAGAAAAGATGTGTTGGCATAAGGCAAAATTCTTCATTTCAAAATGTTATAAAAATATTGAAGGCAAATTATGAAATTTTGCAAAAAGATAATTTTTAAATAGCAATTATTAAACCTAATCTTAGGCACATTTCATTTTAGTTTGTTGGTTTCTTCTACATAAAAGGTATGTTTTTTGTGATGTGTTTTGTCTGTCAGTAAATTACAAGGGGTTAGCAGATGGCTCAGTGTTTTTGGTAAAGGAGCTGGCCATGGCAGCCTGATGACCTGAGTTGAATTCCTAGATCTCACTGTGGGAAGGAGAGCACTGGTTTCTGAAAGTTATCCTCTGACCTTGTGTGTTATGTGTGGCGTGTGTGCTCATACTTACATACATACCAGATGTACAGATATGATAATAAGAAGGAACATTTAAAATAAATTATGATTATGCCAACAAATAGTACTCCCATTATCCTGACACCTTATATCTAAATTTCTTAGATATAAGGTGTTCAAAAAATACATGACTAGAATCAAGAAATTGTAAAAGTAGAAACTTTCTGAATTATTTCATTGACTGGCATATTTTATTCTTTTTATAAAACATAGAACTTGAGAGAATTCTGTGAAAGGCTAAGTGTAGAATGAACCAGCAATACCTAGTTTCTAAATGAAAGTTGAGAACAAGTCACTTTGCAGAAATAATAATCTACAAATTTAGTGGGATCGTATGGGAAGGAGCCAGACAGTAGAAAATTATAATCACAGTGAAATATACATTCCTATTATATAGTAATTTGTCAATCTTTTCTGTTTCTTCTCCTCCCCCTCCCTCCCCCCTCCTTTTCTTTTTTTTTTTTTTTTTTTTCTTTTTTTTTTTTTTTTTTTTTTTTTTTTTGAGGCAGGATTATCTCTTTCATTCTGACTGCCCTGGAACTGTCTAGATCTGTCTGGCCTCAAACTCAGAGCTCCACCTGCCTCTGCCTCCCAAGTGCGGAAATTAAAGGCATGTACCACATAATTCTGAAATGCAAAACAATGCTGACTTAATTTTTAAATTATTGTTTAAAACAAGTCATATAAAAGAATTAGAGTTTGGGACATAGCTTAGTGGTAAGACAGTTGCTTAGTAGGCCTAAGGCCGTGAACTGGATACTGCAGTGCCACAAGAAAGCCAGGGTTGCTAGATGTTTTAAGTCGTGGTTTTCTCTTTTATTGAGGGTGGGGTGGTTCAGCTGTAAATCTTTCATCAGAGTTTTGAATGAACTAGAGATCTAGTAGAGATTGAATTGTCTAGGGGAAGCTCTTTGATTCTCAGGGTCACAGGAGAAAAAAAAATCAACCATTCAGTTGTAAAACTGTTGTGATTTAGTTTGCTCTTCATCCTAACCCTTGGCTCTGAAATAGGATGTGGATCAACCTACTCAAATAGAAGGGTTTTTCTTTTACAAGATTTATATCTATTATTTGAATTATGTGTGCATGCCTTTGTGAGGGTAGGTGCACATGTGTGCGGGTGCTTGGGTAGGACTAAGGTGCTGGACACCCCCCCCCCATGGAACTGGAGTTTGAAGTGGTTGTGAGCCACACTGAACATGGGTGATGGTAACTGAACTTGGGTCTTCTGCAAAAGTACTCTTCACTTTTAACCACTGAGCCATCTCTCCAGCCCCTAAAATAGTTTTCACAACTACAAGTGATAATCCTTCAGAACTAAATTTAAAGTTTCATTTTTTCAATTTTAGAATATATTACTTTAAGATATTTTTGTTTTAGTTTTTAAAAGATATGTTTATTTTTATGTTTACAAGTATTTTGCCTGCATATATGTGCACAATATATTACAATGCTGTTGGAAGCCAGAAGAGGGCATTAGAACCTCTGGAACTAAAGTTGCAGAAGCTTGTGAACCACCATGTGGGTGCTGAGAACCCAATCACAGCCCTCCGCAAGAGCAGCAAGTGCTCTTAATCACTGAGCTCTCACTCCTGTTTTAATATTGTTTGTGGTTTTTTGAAATACATTTTGTCTAGAAGTCAGGAAGTTTATAGTATAGTAAATCATTTAGGGATTATTTTAACTCATTTTCTAACACTTTAGGAAATGTAGTATAACTTACAGAAAGTCAGTGATTTTGTTGTTGTTGGCAGTATTTTGACATAGGATCGCACTATACACACTCGGGTGTTCCTAAAGTTGTGATCTCTTGTCTCATCGTCCTGAGTGTTGGAATTAGAGTCATGCACTTTGGTTTCCATGTTTGTGATTTGTTTTGTTTGAGATACGCTTTTGCTACCTGGCTCAGGCTGGCCTTGAGTTTGCTGTCCAAGCCTTATGGTTCTGAGTGCTGAAAATACAAGCATGTGTTACCAAGAGCTAGGTCGATTATTTTTTAATTATATTTA